GTTGGAGGGCTCTCTCCGCGCTCCCGGCTCCGTGGTCCCGGGCCCAGAGGCGCGAGCACGCGGCAGCCCCTGGGTGGGCTGCGCGGGGCGGGGCGGGGCCAGGGGCGGGGAAGGAGGTCCGTTTTTCGAGTTTGACGCGCAGCTCAGCGCTTGGTCAGCTTTTCCAGCCTCTTTGAGGCGCCGCAGTTCACAAAGCGCTTGGACTCATCCCCGTAGAGCGAGCAGTCGGGCGGTTTCCCACCGGTTCCGGAAGGCTCTCCCCCCAGAGAAGAACCCCGAGCCCGCCCGGCCCCGTCTGCTCTCTGGCCCCGTGAGCTCGCGGTTCCGCGTGTTCGCATCAGTGGAGCCGCAGCGTGTGCCCTTCGTGTCCGGCTCCTGGCACCGGGCACCGCGTCCTCCAGGCTCACCCGTGTGGCACCTGTGCCGGCAGCCGCTCCTTTTTGCGGCCGAATGCTGGTATTTCATTGTACGGATAGGCTGCTCTTTGTTTCTCAATTAACGGGCATTTGGGTTTTTGCATTTTTTTGCTTCCGAGACCTTTTAAGGTCTATTCCTGCACAGAACTCGCACTCTGGGGCGCACACAGTTTACAACGAAGTTCTCATCCCGACGTTTTAGCTCTGGGGTTGGATCAGGTGTGCAGTCTTCCAGGAGAGTTTGTCAAGTCTCCTGTTGGCAGTCCAGCGCTTGCGAGCCCGCTGCCTGGGGGTAACAAGCAGTGTTTGTGTGCAGGTCCCCTCAGAGAGGGGCGGACGTGGAGGCCATGGAAACTGTCTCTGCGGGAGAGGTTTTACCCCAAAACGAGACCTACTCGATCTCCGTTACATGTGGGGTCTGTATTTGTGAACCCACCACTGGTTGAAACTTCTTTGCAGCCCCAGGGAAGTACTCGGGGTCTTTGCGGGATGCGGGCCGCGTGCGCCCCTCCCGCCGTTCCTCTGCTCGGGTCTCAGCGCGCGCTGCAGACCAGCGTCCTGGGGGTGCTGCACGGAGGGCCACGGTCTGCAGTTCATGCTTTTTGTTAGTGATTCCACTGTGTTTTTTTTTTAACGAATTTTTGTTAATGGAAGGCAAGAGTTTAAATTCTGTAGTGTTTTACAATTTTCGTAAGTTTCACATGCATGATTTTACATAATCCAGTAATAGCCCTCCCCCCAATTTCTATCTTGCCCCTCGCCCCTTCCTTCTCCCCGCTGGTAACTGCTAGTTCACTCTCTGATCTGTGAGTCTGCTGCTTTTTTGTTTTAGTCACTAGTTTTATTTATTTATTTGTTTGTTTGTTTATTTAGATTTTATTGAGTTATACTCAGTTTACAATGTTGTGTCAGTTTCTGGTGTACAGCACAATTTTCAGTCATACGTGAGTACATATATTCATTTTCATATTCTTTCTCACCGTGAGCTACTACAAGATCTTGTATATATTTCCTTGTGCTATACAGTATAAACTTGTTTATCTATTCTATATGTAGCTGTCAGTATCTACAAATCTCCAACTCCAGTCTGTCCCTTCCCACCCCCCAACCCCCGGCAACCACAGAAATCTCTTCTGTTAGGCTATTCTTTCCTTTTTCTTTTTATTGTGGTAAAATAGACATAATGTAAAATTTATCAATTTAACCATTTTCACGCATGCAGTTCAGTGGTGTTAGTACATTCGCAATGTATACCCTTTGTTTTTTAACAAATAACCAGGCAGGCCGTCATTTGAGACTTTGTGAATGTCCTGTCCCCAACAGCTTTTTAGTATCCCCCATGACTGCTGCTGAATGGTGTTATTGTCAGTCAGTTTAATAGGAAAAGTTTATGAGGTTGATCTGTTAACATTCCCTTTTTCCAGATGAGGAAATTGGAGCGCAGAGAGGTTAACTAATCGCCCAATGTAAGTAATTGGTGGAGCTCAATACTGAACCACATCCGATCTAACGTTCACGGCTTGCTTTAAGTAACGGGCTGTGACACCGCGACCTGTGGGCCAAGTCTGCCCCTTTCTGTAGTAAAGTTTTACTGGGATGTGACCGTGCCCTTTCTTATTCCGTATTGTCCACAGCTGCTTTCAAACTAAATGTGGGCTGGTCGTGACAGAGGCCACGTAGCCTGCAAAATCTAACACCTTTACCCTCTGGCCCTTTTTGGAAAGTTTGCTGACTCCTGCTTTATGGAACGGGTATTTAAATTTTTTATTTTTATTAAAAGAATACATGCACTTATTTGGACAGGAGATCGTGCTGAAAGTTTCATTTGTGCAGAGGAGAGCCCCGCGCAGAGCTGTGCACCCCGGTGTTGACAGTTACATTCTGGCTACGTCCTTATTCCACTTTCTTGATTTCACAGCTGTGGACGCTGGTTTGGACACCAATTACCAACCTGGTGTAGGCCACTATCCTACTTTTTAGTGTAGGATTAATCTTACTATTAGCAGATAATCTGAAGATTTGTAATGTGCACGTTTGCTGAGGCCTGACTGAATCTGCGTGGTCTGGGGCCGGTGCAGCCATTGGGGTGCGGCTCCACCGGCTGCAGATGCTTTTTCTGAGGGCGGCTGTATTTCCTCGTGGACCACACATTAGCGCGGTCTCCATCTGTTGCATTGGCTCTCAAATCAAACTGGGGCGAATATCACAGTCCCTGTGGATGGGGTCAGGCACTGACTTGTGGGCCTCGCCTCTGCTTTCCGATTCGGGGGTGTGTGTCTCTGACAGGGGCCCAGGCGATATAGATGCTGCGGGGATGTCAGTGTCAATGCTGCGTCCATCCTGAACGCGGTCTCGCTATTACATCGTAGGTCTCCCACCCGCAGGTGTGTGAGCTCCAGGAAGCCGTGCACCTGCCAGGGCTTCTGATTCCTCTTCCACCCCGCAGAGGCCGGGGTCCTGCTGCTCACAAGCAGGTCGTCAGAAACTGGTTGTTTGCTTTTGTAGTTTTGATTTTTCAATTACAAACACTTTAATTACACCATATAATTATAATACATTCTTATGGTAAAAATCACTTTTAATACCACCACCAGGCTCACAAAAATTTGAGCAGGAAGTTAAGCAAAGCCTAGAGGACGTTCAGGGGCTCTTTGGGTGACCACGGCACCTGGAGGAGGCGCTTCGTCTGGGCGTTAGCAGAGGCTGTTGCTGTTTGTTTACTGTCAGCATCCTGTGAGATCCTTTTTATCTTCTGTTTATTTAGAAGTCAACCAGAATCAGCATGTTTGGGACTGAGGAGGCAATTTTCGGCAGCCGTGACAGCCACCCTGCCAGTGGCAGCTCCGTGCTGTGCTTTGGTCAGGTAACTGCTTGCTGCTTTCCTGGAAGGAAGGGGCTGAGGGAAGAAGGTGCAGGGCAGTGCCCTGTGCGTGGCAGCTGCTGCTGCTCTTCTCATTTAGGTGCATGACCTGAGAGTCTCCGATGAGCTCTGAGGGCATTCTGGAGCTTCAGCTTCAAAAGACTAATAAATGGCACTGGGGGTTACCTTTAGATTTAAATTTTATTTATTTTTGGATAGATTACATTTTCACGTGCTGTAACATTCAAAATGAAACGAAGACTAGATGTGAAAAGTCTCACTGTTCCCTGTCGCTCCTGTCCACGTTTCACCCACATCTCTCTTTTGGTGGCATCCCGAGTTTCTGGTGTTGTGTTCTTTGTGGACATACTCTCTGCATGCAAGGGGGATCGTTGCTTTGTCCACCCAAATGCTAACTTTGTCTTTGCCAGAGATCTGTGTGGGAGTGTTTATTCCATTTAGACAGGGCAAGGGGAAAACTACAAAGAGGACGAAACGCTAAGCAAGTAGCAGTGTGTTAACCGCTGTGCAGGATGGGGATGGCTCAGCTGGAGGAGAGGACAGAGGGAAGCAGTCTTCTCCCCTCCCCCTCCTCCCCCCTCCTCCTCCCCTCCGGCATTAACGTTGTGTATAGACTCTGAGGCAGGAAGTTTTCCTTTCCCAATTCTGGCTCGAGAGTTTTGTAAGGATGGTTAACATATTAGTAACATCTAGGGCACTGGGTCTCAACATGTGGTCCAGTGACCCCTGGGGTTTCAGAGTCTGTGAAATCAACATTACTTTCATAATGATACTAAAACACCCTATGCCTGCTGTACCCTCACCTTTCATGGGTGAGGGGGCAGCCTTCCCGAGGCTGCACAGCCCATGCTGATGTCACTGCTCTGGTGGTCACCGGAGTGTGTGCCCACCAGCTTTCGCAGGCTTAACTCCTGTCACTCACGGGAACAACTCACATAAGCAGAAGCTCAGGGGCCTCAGTACTTTTTAAGTGGAAGGAGGTCTGGAGACCAGCAGGTTGAGCCTCGCTGCCAGGAGAGGTGGCACTGCCAGTCTGATTTTCCCTTTCTGGACTGCAGTACCAGTACACAGCAGAAGAGTACCAGGCCATCCAGACCGCTCTGAGGCAGAGGCTGGGCCCAGAATACATCAGTAGCCGCATGGCTGGAGGAGGCCAGAAGGTAGGGGAGTCTACGTGCCTGAAGTGGGTGCCCCAGTGCAGACGACCCAGATGAACCTGCCAGCTCCCCTGTGGTCCTCAGGGGTCACAGCTTCTGGATGTTCCTTAGTGTCTTTGGGAGCGAGTGGGTTCCGGTCTTCATTGTCATCTGACTCGGCCCAGCATTGTCTGAGCCTCCCTGCCCCAACACAGAACACGGTTCTAAACTGGCTCCTTCTGGAAGATCTTTGAAATCAGTTCAGTGAGAATTTCCCTGGAATGCTTAAGGGCAGTTTTGCCAAAAAAAAGCTAGTAAGGAATAAATTAAGTAAAATTTGATCCACATTGAAGCACAGCCAAGGAATTTTAATAAGTGTTTTCTTTGCTTAACGTTTCCCCCAGGTGTGTTACATTGAGGGTCACAGGGTAATCAATCTGGCCAATGAGATGTTTGGCTACAATGGCTGGGCACACTCCGTCACGCAGCAGAACGTGGGTGAGTTCGCCTCTCCCCGGGCCCCGCCGGGCTCCGGCCGGCTTCTGACAGCAGCGGTGAGCGCGGGCACGCGGCCGGGGTCCGGGCAGGCACGGGTCGGCGTCCCTTCAGCTGGTTCTCCTTCCCACCCCTAGATTTTGTTGACCTTAACAATGGCAAGTTCTACGTGGGAGTCTGTGCGTTTGTGAGAGTCCAGCTGAAGGTGAGGGTGAGGGAGCAGACTGCTGCCCTCGAGCCCGGGGGGCGGGAGGGGAGCGCTGGCCGTGGGGAGTCCACAGAGCGGGGCCGGAGCTGGCCTAGGCGACGTCCAAACAGCCTTCCTCCCAGGCCCCGAAAGGAATTTTGAAAAACTGTTCTCTTGCACATTTTTAGGTAGACAACTTAAAGTTGTCACCATAAATACAAACAGTTGCAAAAGTATATTTTTTGGCATACTGTAAAATTGTACCTTCTACGATAAATGTGTTGTATCTTTGTAAACTGTGCTGATGGATTCTAAATCCCACAGAGGACTGAATGCTGGCATCCATTTAAAAGAACACAGCAGCAAGTTATTCTTTAATCATCAGAAATTTTACATTGTTTCCTCTTGAACACACATTTCCATTCCATTTTCCCCTTGGCTTTTACCCTCATATATATAATTGAAAATCTTTTATTAATAACCTTACACTTGTCTGTCTCTGTGCGTGTATACAAATTTGGGGGGTGGTAAATAGCCAGTGGGCTGAAGGCTCTATTAAAAAATGTCTTCTGGATTGATTAGTGTTATAGGCATTATTAACACACAATTGATGTGTCAATGTGTTTATGTTGAGACAACATAACTACATCTAAATATTTACACTTAATAAAAACACAGTTCTATAGAAAATGCATTCCTTAATAAGAAGGATAAAGCTGCTTTATTCTGTTCAGGTAGTTTATAGCTAGTTTATAGCCATAGTCAGTATTACTTACTTGTAGATTAGACATTTAGCATTAATTCTGTTCTGACTTATTTTTGTAAGTAGTGCTGAAAAGCCTCATTCACAGACCTAGACTGGGAGTGGAAGGAGTTTGTTGCAGTGCCATTCACCTGTCTGAACACCTTGAGCTGTGTGTCAGAAGTTGGCGCTGCCATCACAAGTTACACTCGGCTGTCTGTCAGCGACCAGCTCCACCAGGCCCACCGCCCCCTCTGGCGGGAGCCCGGGAACCCACAGCACCCGCCCCGGGGGAGGGCTTGTGTCCAGCCCTTGGAGTCTGTTGATAACGATATTCCAAACCTTCCTTTTGTTGGGTGTCCCAAAGGTCATTACACTGTGGGCTAATGCGTCTCAGCAAGACCGGGGTAGGTTAGGCACGCGCCTTTTGTATGCAGGGAGGAAAGCGGGGAGCAGAGCCCTCTGGACAGTTGGACCGCAGGCCCATTTCCAGGCAGAGCTGGTCCAGCGACACGCGGTGGAAATTGAGTGCTCCGGCCCTGCCGGTGCTGCAGGCCGGGGCGCTTTCCGCCCCGCTGGAGCACTGCTGCTCCCACACCCCTCCCTTCTCTTCTCCCCCAGGACGGCTCGTATCATGAAGACGTGGGCTACGGCGTGAGCGAGGGCCTCAAGTCCAAAGCCTTGTCCCTGGAGAAGGCGAGGAAGGAGGCTGTGACGGACGGGCTGAAGCGGGCGCTCAGGTAGGCAGATCCTGTGCATTTCAGCTCTGGTTCAGAGCCGAGCTTGATCCAGAGGATCCAGAGGAAACGCGTTCACATGTTCAAGGGTTGAAATAACCTGAGTGCCCCTACCCCATCCCTCTGCGGCCTCTTCCTGCCCTCCTCTGTGTCCCCAGGCCGCGTGCTGCCGAGGCCTCCCTCTCCGGGGAGGAAGTCGTGGGCCCCCTGTTGTCCCTTTCCTCCCGACTTGCACCCCAACTCCTCAACTCAGGAGTGCATCCCGGAGACCTTTCCACGTGGCCGCACAGATCGCTTCCTTAGCCTCTTTAGTACAACCACAGTTCTCCAGGCTACATAGAGCACGGGTTTTAACCTTTTTTGGCTCATAGATGCCTTTGAGAATTGAATCACCAAAAAAATAACTTTAGTGCATGTGTAAACACGCACTAAAAATTCGCAATACCATAACCTGTGGTGGGGGGGGGGTCCCTGTGAGCCAAGCAAAGAACCTCAGCCCTGGAGCACAGTGCCCGAGTGTGCACTCACCGTTACTGGGGCCCTGGGGCGGTCCGTGCAAATAAACCTTGCTCTGGACTGTGTGCTGCACGCCAGGAGGTAGCTGGTGGGGTTCTGTGAAGGGTGTCCCAGTCTTGCAGACTCACTGCCTGCCCCCGAGGGTCGGGGTTTGTGACATGCTCACTGCTGTGGGCTCAGAGCCTCCTACGGGGCAGGCACAGGGCAGGGGCTTCACACACGCTTTTGAGTGTGCATCAGCGGCCATTTCCTCTGCTGCGGCGGAGGCGCAGTCTGCACGGAGCTTGTGACTCTGTTCTCTGGTGCTGACATTCACGGTTCTCAGCCCTGTTTCACGGTCTTCCTTTCTCACCCCCAGAAGTTTTGGGAATGCGCTTGGAAATTGTATTCTGGACAAAGACTATCTGAGGTCACTGAACAAGCTTCCACACCAGGTATGTTAGGAACGGGATGCAATGTGTTGCCGTGAAGGTGGAACCGCTGATTTGTGTCACGAGGTGTGTCTGGTGATGGAGGGAGACGACGGGAAGGAGCAGCGGTTGAGAGGGTCTGGAACGTGGCTCAGAGCGCCGTGCGCGGGAGACCAGCAGGAGCGGCCGCCCCGCCCGCGGTGGTGGAGCCTGGAGCGGCCGTGCCACTTGCCTCCTGGGGGTCTGTGAAGCCGGGGGGGGGGGGGGGGGCACAGATCCGGCTCAGCAGCCCGTCCCGTCCTAGGAACACTCAGAGCCTCACCCCTCCACCTTGCGTCTCCTTCGCTCTGGCGTCTTTAAGGTTCTTGTCTCCCTTGTTTCTGTCGACGCCTGTCATGCGATCTGCACGTTGGCTTTTGGAGACGGACGGGCCTGGGGTTTAGCGTGACCGGCCGGTGTCACAGCGTTCCTGGGGCGGCTCCGCGGGCGTCCTGGGTCGGGGGCAGCCGTCCCTCTCCCCTCCTGAGGGATGCTTTTTCTCGTGCTGCCCCACAGAGATGTGTGTCAATTGGCAGCTGTCAAAACTCCATTTTCCCCCCTTTTTAAATCCTTTTGATACATTACCAATCTCAGTTTGCTCGTGTTTTATTAAGGACTTTTGCATGTGTTTACAAGGGATAGTGTAGCTTCTCTTTGCCGTAAAAAGCACAAACATGAAGTTTCCCGTTTTGGCCATTTTTAAGCGCACAGTTCAGCAGTGAAGCCCATCTCCAGAACTTACGTACCGAGGCTCTGCACCCGTAGCACGACGCCCTCGCGCCCCCGCCCCCGCCGGCCAGCGCGCCGCTGTCTGCGTGCCTGCGACTAGAGCCCGCACGTAAATGCAGGCACACGGGTTTGCCTTCCTGTGACCGGCTTTCTGCCACCTAGGATACCGTCCTCAAGGTTCATCTGTGCGGCGGCAGGCGTCAGAATTCCGCCCCTTCTAAGGCTGAGCACCGCGCCGCTGCCCGCCGCGTCTTCACGCCGTCACCC